AGCAATTTAAGTTGAAAGCATAGATAAGATTTCACATGGATGGCACAACAATCGCAGTTTCAATCTTGATTTGAGGTCTAGGCATTTCAATACATGATTCATATTCTCCGTACCTTTTTAAATCATCGAGAATAGCACATCGATCATATTGAGACACACCTTTCATGTATATAAAGTTGCAACACCAATTCATGTGGAATTAACAATCAATACATCAACCCAATTTTACTCTTACCGCACTTACACAAACACCAACGGAGCTCAATTTCTAAAAAGATGGGTTTTTAGCCATACATACCTCAATAGAGCTTTCCTTAAATTCTTACAAAATTCTGGGACTCTTAGCGACTTCAATCTATTTTATGGGAATCATAAATTGAACTAAGAATTAGCGACATGATTCAGGCTCTAACTTATTTGAGCATATTATCAAGCACTAAGTGTGCATTGTGATTTTAGGACCCTTTTGTGAGAGATTTTCTTCAATCTTATACTCCAATTGCTATCTTTTTAGTTCACAACCTCCCCATACCCTATTATCTTTTATTCATGCAAGAAAATTCATTTTTATACCCATGAACCCACAAGCTAATTACTCATTCTAGTGTGAATTTCGAAATCAAAGGTTGGGGCTCAAGCTCTTACCTCTTGAGGTGAAGGCCTAGCAGATGAGCTTGAAATTCTTCAAGGGTTTAGGCAAGAATTGGGTGGGGACTTGATGAAGATCACACTCTCTCTAGAACTTCCTCTCTCACTCTATTTGCAGTAAAATAACACAAAAAGGGGTCTTATGGGGTGTTTTTAATGGGATGGGGTCGGGTTTTAAAAGTTAGAAATAGGAGCTCCGGCGCAGTCTGCGATCGCATAATGGACACACGGCCCGCAAAAACAGCTTCAAAAACCTGAACAAGCTGCCCGGGTATGCAACAAGAATGCGATCCGTATACCTGTTCTGCGGTCGCATAATGCACTGCAGAACTGCCCCTCGTAATAATTCCAAGGGGATTATGCGATGACTATGCGGCCCGCATATTGATTATGTGATCGCATAATTGGCCACATAGTTGACCTCAAAATTAACCATCAAACTATCTGACTCTGCGGCGACTATGCGGTCCGCATAGCTATTATGCGACCGCATAAATACACTTTTCTGGAAAACATTATTCCTCAACTTTTTAATGCACAGATCAGTCCAAAGGATCTGAACTGTGCATATTCCTATCTTGTCACTATGGGCTTTCGGGTTTTGAGTAGAAATTTTTACGGGGCCTCACATATCACATATCTTTAAAACCAAAAATTATCTTTTATTGTTACTCATATTTTTCGAGGTAAACAGTAATAAACGAGGCCACTCGTGCCAACGTATTGAAAGAGGGGAAACCAATGTGAAGTGAGATAATTGATTGAAAGGACGATGTCTCTAGGGGGATGGCCTAGCTGACAGGCCGTGATCGGACGCCATGTCGCACACATAGTGGTAATTGTGATGGAAACGATGATTGAAATAGTGGATATGGTTGATGTCTCAAATGAGATGACCTAGCCAATAGGGTCGAGATCGAACTCCGTGTAAGGACAAGGTGGTATTGTGGATTGTGGCACATGGCACTAAAGATTACCAATCTAATAAGATGAAAATTGACTTGAGAACTTATGTGATCCTTACTTGATGTTTTTGTTTTGTTTGAAGCTCTTATTGTACATCATGACTGTTACCCTTTGTTTCATTGTTCATTCTATGAAAATGGGGTTTTAGCTTTACACACTGTATACGGTCAAAATCGAAATAGCATGCTTTTGAAGTCTTAAATCGGGCTATGGGTCCGAGTCCGGGAGACTCGAAGTGGGTGTCGTATTTGGCTAAGGGACACCTACCTCGAGGAAGCTGATCGAATGCCTGGCATGGGTTGCATCGAGGGCAACTTTGTCTCAAAGTCAATCAAGAAATAGCGGTAATTTCTCAAGCACAAATGGACCTGGGCATTAATTAAAGGATAAGGGTTGTACGAACTAGTACAAGTCCGTACTAGGCCGTTATACACCTGTACCAATAGAATTCTTTACTTTTATGAGCAAGGTACTATGTTGGGGTTTTCTCCTCCTATATAAAGGGGACCCGAATCACTTTGTAAAAGAAGAGATCATTCGCTAATACAGATTCTTATTCTTCTCTTGTTGAACGTGCTCTCCAATTATTCTGCAGCTTTATTGCCTTTACTTTATTGTTCATACTTAATTGCTCTTAGCTAACCTCGAGGTCCCTAGATTGACGAGCTCGAGGCCCCTACTGTTCTGATAATAATGATTTGGTTCATTATTTCTTCTTACTTAAGCTCAATATTATTCATATAATCACTAGTATTAGAATATATCACGTATCTTTAAAACCACAAAACATCTTTAATTGTTACACACTTTTTTTTGAAATAAACAGTTTGGCGCCCACCGTGGGGCTAAAGATTATAGTGCTTATTTTAGTGCTAATTTTCTGATAACACATGTTATTCTTCACACTTTTTCTTGTCAAAGATTCTTTGATTTTAGGATTAATCATATCTAGCACAAAAAATGCACCCGTTCACCACAGTAAGGGGCTTGGAGAAAATATCGGCATAGGGCTGGGTGTACCACCCGTAAACCCTGAGGGAGTGCCAGATGTGGAGCCAGTTGATATCACCTCCCACAACACGGACGCAGGCACAAACCCTGCAAGGAACACACAGGGAAGCCCGAGCCAGAGGCTAGGAAACACGAGGACTGGAAGAAGGAGGAGTCAACCTCCAGGTGATATTCGAGATGCTGCAAGCTCAGCAAGTCGCCAACGCTCAATTTTAGAGTCAGGACAGGACTCCTAACACCGCCGAACTAGTAAATGCACAACATAAACCAGTGCTTGGGAGGCCCGATAAAAGCGGCTCGGGGACTGACCCCACAATCATGAAAATGCTCGAGGAACTGACTAAAATAATCGAGTCAGGAGAAAAGAAGATAGAAGACAACGACAAGAAGGTGGAAACTTACAACTTCCGAGTAGACCAGATACCGGGACCACCTCAAGTTTTGAAGGGTTTAGACGCCAAAAAATTCATACAAAAACCTTTCTCCCCCAAGTGCAGCTCCGATGCCTATTCCCAAGAAGTTCCGCATGCACGATATACCAAAGTACAATGGGATAACTAACCTTAATGAGCATATTACTTCATACACTTGTGGAATCAAAGGAAATGACTTGAATGACGACAAAATCGAGTTAGTGTTATTAAAAAAAGTTTGGAGAAACACTATCAAAGGGAGCTATGATTTGGTATCATAACTTAGCTCCTAACTCTATTGATTCATTCGCTATGTTAGCGGATGCCTTCGTGAAAGCACATGCCGGGGCCATAAAGGTGGCCACGAGAAAATCGGACGTTTTCAAAATAAAACAAGTGGACGATGAGATGTTGAGGGAGTTCGTGTCCCGTTTCAGATGGAATTAACCCCGGTCTCCGATGACTGGGCAGTTCAGGCCTTCATGCAAGGTTTGAATGAGAGAAATTTGATAGCATCTCGACAGATAAAAAAGAACTTGATCGAATATCCTGCTGTGACATGGTCGGATGTGCACAATCGTTATCAGTCAAAAATCATGGTCGAGGACGACCAGCTGGGAGCCTCCTCAGGCTCAGTTCACCCAAACAAATTCATAGCCAAGCCCCCGTGAGACACAGATAGGGCATCAAGACCCAACAATGAGCGGTATCAACCATATGATTGAAGAAACAACGGTTGGAGCCACAATGCCTCTCGGAGCGATCGAAGAAATGACCAAGGTCAAGGGTCTCAGGGACTCATGAGCAGAAACGGGTTCGATAAGCACATCTACCCCGCCGAAGCCCCTCGATTATTAGAGTACAATTTTAGCATACATGTGTCAGGAATCGTCTCGGCCATTGGGAGAAACAAAGATGCTAAATGGCCCAGGCCAATACAGACCGATCCCTTCCAAATGAACCCGAACGTGATGTGCAAGTACCATGGCACACATGGCCATAGAATGGAGGATTGCAGGAAGCTAAGGTAGGAGGTGGCTAGGTTATTCAATAAGGGCCACCTTCGAGAATTCCTAAGTGATCGGGCTAAGAATCACTTAGGGAAAGGGATGCAGGCAGAAGGAACGAACCAAAAGAACCTCAACATGTCATTCTCATGATAATCGGTGGAGCCAAAGTCCCACAGGAACCAATATTCAAATGCACCAAAATATCCATCACAAGAGAAAAACGAACTCGGGATAACTTACCCGAGGACACCCTCAGATTCAGCGAGGAAGACATCGAGGCTTTATCTCAACCTCACAACGATGCACTGGTAATCTCTGTAAGCACGTGATTTTTGCCCTATACGAAATACTCCTATAAAATCCCCAGAAAAATAGATTTTGTTTAACGTTATTTGCCATTTTAGGAATTTTTATAGATTTTATTAATTGGTTGCATTTTTCTTGCATGTTTAATTTTATTTAAATCATGAAAAAATACCCAAAAATATCATTAATTGCATTTAGGATTCGTTTTTGCTTTTTTAGAATTAACCAGTAATTATTTATTTTATAAAAATTGAAAATCACGAAAAAATGCTTCATTTTTACTCTTTTTCCTTTTATTGATTTTTTTCTCTTTTAATTTAGGATTAAATAGCTTTTATAATTTTTATAATTAGCTAATTAGTTTAAATTCACACTTTTGGATAATTTCGAATTTTTAATTTGTAGGATTTTAATTAAAAGAAAAAGGAAAAAATTAAAAAATAAAAGAAAGAATTGGAAAAGAAAGGTTTGTCCTGTGAAATTGGGCCAAAATTAATGCTGAGCCCAAAGCCTATACCCAAATCTGCCCAAACCCAATAACCCACTCAAAGCCTAATCTCCCTACCCAAATACCCATTACCCGACCCTAATCCCTCACATAAAAGGGGAGTTAAGGCACAAAATAGATAAGATTTTGGAGAGATCTTAGACCCCTTCAGCAACGGTGCATTTTGGGAGCAAAAAAAAAAAAAAAAAAGCTTCTCCTCCCTTCCTTCATCATCACCAAACTGACCTCTTTCCTCCAAACCAAAACAATGGAACCTCACCTCCACACTCTCGTCCCTCAAATATACACACATAAACGATTGGTAAGAGAAACTTGAATTTTCAAGGAAGATCTGAAGATGAATTAATTTCAAAGCTCGATTTCTTCTCTTTCTAGGTTTATAAAAGCTGTTTTGGAGCTGTGGATGTTGCTTCGTTGATTTTGCCGCTGCTGTTTAGCTTCTGTTCTTCGACATCTCAACCTTCATTAGCTCTAGTTTTGATGTTTTGCTGTTGTCCAGGTAATCTCTCCCTTGAGACTGTACTGCTACTTAATGTTTGAATCATGAAATCACAAGAATTTCCTCATGTTAGATTCAAATTGAATTTTGTGAACATTTACAATGATATGTGATGTGCTGTTATCAGTCTGATTCAATGTTATGTGTTATTGGGTCATTTGAACTCGTTCGATTTCCTATTTAATCATTGTTGTAGTGTTTAAGATATGAAAGTGTTCAAATCGTGGTATTAAAATCNCCAAAAAAAAATCAGAAACAAAAATCCAAAAATACTCTTTTTCTTCTTTAGAAGTCTTTTTTTTGTAAATGTCAATAAAAATTTTGAAAAACTGAAGTCCAAATACTTTTTTTGCTTTTCCTTAGAAGTACTTTAGTAAATAAATAAAAGCTTAGAAATTCAAAATATTTTTCTTAAAGAAGTCCCTTTTTCGAAAATTAAGAGGTTACATCCAAAATCCAAAATATTTCTTTTTCCTTAGAAAAAGAGAAAACAAATGAAAAACTCAAACAAAAAGTATTCCCAAAGTTCAAATAAAAAAAAAGAAGAAATTTTCAGAAGTCTTTCTTTCAAAAATAAAATCAAATCAAAAATCCAAAACAAATTCCCTTTCTTCTTTTAAAACACTTTTTTAGAAAATTCCAAAGAAAAAAATAAATCAAAAAATCAAAACTGTTTTTCTTTTGCCTTAAATCCAAACATATTTTCTTTTAGTTCCTTCTTTAGAAATCTTTCCTTAACAAATTCCAAAAAAAAAAGAAGTTTTTAATACTCAATTCCCAATTTTGCCCGAACTACGCTGGTTTGATTCTCACCGAATTTGAGATACGTCGGCAACCCTCATCGGGTCCAACCACCCTTTTGCAAAAATAGCCAAAAATACCAAAATTTTAATTTTTTGTCAAATAGTGATGCCATTCTTGTTTTAAAATAAGCCGAATGTCCCCAAAAGGGCGCCGGAAGGCTATTTTTGCAAGAACAGCCACCCCGAGTCATTTTTAAATGGTTTGCGGGCACAGCCTTAAAATCTCCCTCCCGGAAGTGCTGAAAGGCCGTATCTGCAAAACCGAGTCTTTGTTTTCTTAAATAAAAGTTTTGAAAAATAGCCACTTTTTCCTTTTAGGTCAAAATAAATCATTAAAATACTCCTTAGATGTCTTTCTTTCATAAATAATAAATATATAAAAAAAAAAAATACAAATTTTGAAAATTGAGTCCGAAAAATATTTTTGCTCAAAAATCCAAAACATTTTCATAAAAGTCCCTCTTCCGAAAATTAAGAGGCAACTTTAAAAATCCAAAAAAAAATATTTTTCTTTCGTGTTTAGAAAATAAATGAAAATTCAAACAAATATATTTCTTTTTACTTCTAAAATTCCCAAAGTTTCAATAAAACGAAAATGTAAAAGTCTTTCTTTCAAAAATTAAAAAGAAAAATCAAAATCAAAATATTTTCCTTTTTCCTTCTAATGCATTTCTTTCAAAAATTTAAAAAAAGAGTTAGTTTATTTACCTTATTTGCAAGAACTACACTTGGTCTGATTCATGCGGGGTCATGATACGTAGGCAGTCTCCATAGGATTCGACCGTAACCCTAAAAAAAAAAATACGAGGGAAGGAAATAAAAGAAAAACAAGAGAGGAAAAGAAACACAAAAAGAGAAAATAAGGAATCGAGAGAAAGATCATGGCAAAAGAAAAAGGAAAAGCAGAAAATGAAAAACAGAGAGAAAGGAAAAATGAGAGAAAAACAAAAAGAGAAAGAAAAGCAAGAAAAACAAAGAGTGGAAATCAAAAGAAGAGAAAATAGAAAAAGAAAAGCCGGGATGACGCATGAAACCAGTGCAAACAAGTAGACATCCGTTTAACTGTATAGGTGCATCACACCCCAATGTGCGATTACTTGTCTGTTACTTGTCTCAAACTAACCGTGTGTTGCTGTCAATTCCAGCCTAGCTTTTAGAAACGGTGGTTGGTTGTGGTAAGCTGGGGATCGCATCAATACTTTACTAGATCGAAAGGAAGTGTGGAAATGTCTACAGAAATGACTTTGCCCGCAGTTCCCATCTCTGAGGACAACCCCATCTCGGGGATCCCGGCATCTGAGTCTGTCACGACGGAAGAGAACCGGATACTACGTCTCCAACTCATGGAGATGTGGGACGCCTGGACCAATGGAAGGGAGCCTCCAAGCGCCATCCCTGGATTTCCTGAACTATTCCCTGGATCTGGGGGTACCTCCAATATCCCCATCAGCCGCCCTCATACTCCGTTGGGACAACCTACCCCGTCTGCTCACTTCATAGGAACACCTTCTGAGGTACGCCCCCAGGTGTTCACATCAAGAGTAGCTCCCAATATCTTTACCGCTCCACCATGCTCTGCCACAACATAACCTTCACTTCCAAGGCCCGCTTTTGATCCCTCGGCCTTCACTTTCCAAAACCCTGTCTTTTAGGTGGATCCTCCTCAGTATCCCACATATACCTATACTCAACCACCTCCATGCGAGCTCACACCCGGACAGGATAAAACTCCTAAAGCTCCCGAACAGGATGAAATGGCAAAAAGGATGAGAAGCCTGGAGCAGAGCCTCAAAAACATACAGGGCTTGAGTGGGCAGAAGAGTGTGTCATATACTGATTTGTGCATGTTCCCTCACGTGCACCTGCCCATGGGATTTAAAACACCAAAGTTCAAAAGTATGACGGGCACGGCGACCCCGTTGCTCACTTGAAGAAGTATTGCAATCAGTTACGTGGGGCCGGCGGAAAAGAAGAGTTGTTGATGGCCTATTTCGGAGAGAGCTTAGTAGGCATTGCCTCAGAATGGTACATGGACCAAGACATCTTACGTTGGCACATTTGGGACGATCTTGCCAGAGACTTTGTAAGGCAATTTCAATATAACATCGACATCGCACCAGACCGGAATTCTTTGGCAAATCTGAAGAAAAAGCCATCAGAGAGCTTAGAGAATACGCTATTAAATGACGCGAACAGGCATCTAGGGTGAAACCTCCCATGGACGAGGTAGAAATGGTCACTATCTTCCTCCAGGCCCCGGAAGCAGATTACTTTCAGAACATGATGTCGGCCATGGGCAAGCCTTTTGCAGAGGCAATTAAAATTGGCGAAATGGTAGAGAATGGTCTGAAAACGGGCCGGATTTTGAGTCAGTCGGCCATCAGAGCAACCTCCCAAGCCATCCAAGGCGGGTCTGGAGGAATGGCCAAAGGTAAAAAGAAAGANCCAAAAAACCGAGGATCTCCCGGCCAAAAAACCGAGGAGCCTTTTCTTTCCAAATCCCGGCCAAAAACCGAGGATCTCCCGGTCAAAAACCGAGGAGCCTTTTCTTTCCAAATCCCGGCCAAAAAACCGAGGATCTCCCTGGCATAACCCAAGGAGCTTTTTCTTTCCAAATCTCGGCCAAAAAACCGAGGATATCCCTGGCAAAACCCAAGGAGGTTTTCTTTCCAAATCCCGGCCAAAAAACCGAGGATCTTTTCTTTCTTTCCGTCCCGGCAAAACCCAAGGACCCTTCTTTCTTTTCCGGCATAACCCGGTCATTTTCCAGCATAACCTGGATTCATTCACAAGAATACACAATCCTGATTTGATCTCTTAGATATGTGTTACAACTAACTCACGAAATCTTCCTAGTGAAAACTGGGGCAGAAAATTTCGTTCGTTTGTTTGTTTTGGTATCTTAAGCAGGTCGACCTCAAGACACAAGGTGTGAGATGACCAATGGAATAAATCTCAATCCAGAATCAAGAAAAGAAGAAAAGAACAAAAACAAATGAACTCAAATGTGAAGCAAGTAAGGGTGCGGATTGCTCAAAACCTGATTAAAGTCACAAGCTCCGCTGATCCTATTTTGACCTAATGCTGCATGACGAAGTAAACACCTACAACTTGCGAGCATCAAGATTCAGATCGAAGTCCACAGCAAAATCGGCTAAGACTCAAGATCAAGTTTCAAGAGAATTATAGATAGGAATCTTGTAACTCATAGTTGATAGGCATAGCTAGCTTAGCTTTGATTTTCCTTTTGGTGTAATAAGGAGCTCATCAAGCAGAAACAACAGCAACAGCAGTGAAATCACGGCTTCCTGGTAGTCCCAGCTACCAAAACTTCCAGAACTACACTGACCTGATTCCTTTATAGCCAAGGATATGTAGGCAACCTCTGAAGCAAGGTTCGGTCAGACTCTTTCAAAAATGCTTCTCATGGAGTTTCAAATGGGCAAAAATTCCTCATATTGCTCACTTTATCTTTGCCTGAAAACTCTTCATGTTTCCGAGCAAAGAGGGGCAGCTGTAAGCACGTGATTTTTGCCCTATACGAAATACTCCTACAAAATCCCGAGAAAATAGATTTTTCCTTAATTATTTTCCATTTTAGGAATTTTATAGATTTTTATTAATTGTTTGCATTTTTCTTGCGTTTAAATCATAAAAAATACCAAAATATCACGTATGGCATTAAGGCCTTATCTTTACATTTTTAGGATTAATTAGTAATTACTTATTTTATAAAATTTAAAAATTACAAAAATGCTTCATTTTTACACTTTTTCCTTTTATTGATTTTTCCTCTTTTAATTTAGAATTAAGTAGCTTTTATAATTTTTATAATTAGTTAATTAGTTTAATTTCACACTTTTGGATGATAATTAATTTAGGATTTTAATCAAAAGAAAAGGAAAATTTAAAATAAAAGAAAGAATTGGAAAAGAAAGGTTTGTCTTGTGAAATTGGGCCAAAATTAATGCTGAGCCCAAAGCCTATACCCAAATCTGCCCAAATCCAATAACCCACTCAAAGCCCAATCTCCCTACCCAAATACCCATTACCCTTTGCCCTAATCCCTCACATAAAAGGGGAGTTAAGGCACAAAATAGATCAGATTTTGGAGAGATCTTAGACCCCTTCAGCAACGGCGCATTTTGGGAGTAAAAAAAAAAGCTTCTCCTCCCTTCCTTCATCATCACCAAACAGACCTCTTTCCTCCAAACAGAAACAATGGAACCTCACCTCCACACTCTCGTCCCTCAAATATACACACATAAATGACTGAAGCGAGGTTAAAAAAAAAATTTCGAAGAGAGATCTGAAAATCCGAAGCTAAAACTGGAAAGAGAAACTTGAATCTTCAAGGAAGATCTGAAGAAGAATTAATTTCAAAGCTCGATTTCTTCTCTTTCTAGGTTTATAAAAGCTGTTTTGGAGCTGTGGATGTTGCTTCGTTGATTTTGCCGCTGCTGTTTAGCTTCTGTTCTTCGACATCTCAACCTTCATTAGCTCTAGTTTTGATGTTTTGCTGTTGTTCAGGTAATCTCTCCCTTGAGACTGTACTGCTACTTAATGTTTGAATCATGAAATCACAAGAATTTCCTCATGTTAGATTCAAATTGAATTTTGTGAACATTTACAATGATATGTGATGTGCTGTTATCAGTCTGATTCAATGTTATGTGTTATTGGGTCATTTGAACTCGTTCGATTCCTATTTAATCATTGTTGTAGTGTTTAAGATATGAAAGTGTTCAAATCGTGGTATTAAAATCACAACACCTTAAATCTGCTTCTTGTTCAAAGCTTGGTTGAATCTTGCAATTAGTCAATTCTTGTGATGACGCCGGAGTAGCTGTCCTCTTGCCGTTAAATTTCCCTATATTTCTCCGGCGAAATTGAACTCTAGGTGGCAGAAAAGTTGTACAACTGGTTCTGTCATTAAGGTTTGGGACGTTGCACTGGGGACCATGAAGGTTGGGGAAGTAGCTGTAATTACCTGCAAGCCAGCGTATGCCTATGGATTTGTAGAGTAGCTGGAAATTAAAGATTGCTTGGTATTTTATTCACTTTGACCTGTAGAGTTTTAACTGGAAACTAGTAGGTTAGGAGATATCTTATGCTTTTCCATTATTCTCATTGCTATTAATTTAAGAAAAAAAAAAATGACATTAAGAATACAGCAATTTCAACACACTTTCATGTCGTGTAATTCCTTTTCTTTGCATTTCGCCTTTCTTAAATCTGTTAAGTAGTTTTCTTGCTTTCAATTTCTTATTAAGATTCTTCAATTTCCTAAATACTGTAGTTCTTATCTACGATGAAGACATACACTTTATAGAGTCACTTACATGATCTTTGAGTATATAATTCCATTTTTTTGTAATATTTAAGTGCATAAATCAGGACCTTGCAATGATCACAAAGTAGTTTGGTAAAATAATTCAAGAACATCGTAGTCTGCTTTAGTTAAGTAAAAATCCTTTTAAAATAATTCGAGACGTGCAATGCCAAATAAAATCCCAAAACTCATGGCCCTCACTTAATTAATTTTAACTCTTTAGAAATCAGAGTGTGCCATTAGTTGAATTTTCCATGGCCCTCACAAAGTTAACAACGCGTAGTTGCTTTAGGCGCGTTATTTGAATAATGTTACCTTCCTAAATTCGGGTGCACATTTATGTGACCCAAATCCAAACCCCAACGAAGTCGAAATGTGTCAAAAACCGCGGGTGCATTTATGTGACGTGGTTCGAGACGCGTTTTTACGACGTTGCAATTCTCTTTAAAATAATAATAAAAGCGGTTTGAAGTTAAAAAAGCACATAAGTTAAAACATGTATTGAAATCAGATTTTTAGCCAATTATAATAATTTAAGCGACCGTGCTAGAACCACAGGATCCGGGGGTGCCTAACACCTTCCCTCGGGTCAACAGAATTCCTTATTCAGAATTTCTGGTTCGCAGACTCCAACTGGGAAGTCGAAATTTTCCTCGATTTGGGATTCAAGTTAAACCGGTGACTTGGGACACCAAAAGCCAATCCTATCCCAAGTGGCGACTCTAAAAACCAAATAAATAATCCCATTTCGAATAATGTCACTTTAAATGGAAAAACTCCCTTATACATTATCCTTCGGGGTAGATGTGTAGAAAAGGAGGTGTGATAATCTCTATCCTTTTAAATAAAGTTCAAGTTAAACGTGTTCTCGTGGATCCAGGTAGCTCGGCAAATATAATCAGGTCCAGGGTCGTGGAGTAGCTCGGACTGCTCGATCAAATCTTACCAACATCTTGGGTCTTGAATGGCTTTAACGTGGCAAGCGAAACGATGAAAGGAGAAATCATCCTCCTAGCCAACGTGGACGGAACCATACAAGACACCAAACTTCATGTCATTGAAGGTTACATAAGATATAATGCTTTTCTCGGAAGGTCGTGGATCCATAGCATGAGGGCAGTGCCATCGACCCTCCACCAAATGATGAAGTTCCCAACAAAGGATGGCGTGAAAATAGCATATGAAGAACATCATGCATCTAAGGAGATGTTTGCAGTGCACGACTTGACACCGATATCGACGTCATTATCGGAAAAGTCGAAGGACAAATAGGCAGCCAAATAGCAATTACAGCTCGCGCCCTTGGTTGATCCCGAGGGACAAATATTCGATGAACAGGTAGCTGGGGACGAAGAAGAAGATTTCCTCACTCCCCGAACTATTGTTTCCCCCGAGGAATCAGATGCAATGAAATCCACGATCGAAGAACTCGAACAACTCATATTAATTGAGCATCTTTTGGAACAAAAGGTATACTTGGGGACGAGGTTAACCCCCGAACTCAGGAAAAAACTCATTCAATTTCTCATCGATAATATTGATTGCTTCGCTTGGTCCCATTTAGATATGAAGGGATTCCACCAGAGATAACTACCCATCGACTAAGTGTCGATCCCAGATTTAAATCGGTGAAGCAAAAGCGGAGACCTCGGTCCGAGGTAAAGTATGCATTCATCAAGGAAGATGTAACCAAACTTCTCAAAATAGGATCTATCGGGGAAATAAAATATCCTGAATGGCTAGCTAACGTAGTGGTAGTCCCTAAATAGGGGAATAAACTTAGAATGTGTGTAGATTACAAATATTTTATTTGAACAAAGTATGCCCTAAAGATTCTTTCCCATTGCCAACATCGATCGCCTGATCGATGCTACAGCCGGCCACGAGATCCTTACTTTTCTCGATGCCTACTCCGGGTACAACCAATTCAAATGAACCCAGAAAACTGGGAGAAAACTTCATTCTTCACTAAGTATGGGATGTATATTTATAATGTAATGCCCTTCGGGCTAAAAAATGCAGGAGCCACATATCAAAGTTTAGTTAATAAGATGTTCGAACATCAAATAGGCAAATCCATGGAAGTTTATATTGATTATATGCTAGTTAAGTCCCTCCGCAGAGGACCATTGACCCATTTGCAGGTGACATTCGACATCCTTAAAAAGTACAACATGAAGCTCAATCCCGAGAAATGCGCATTTGGAGTCGGCTCGGGCAAGTTCTTGGGCTTCATGGTGCCAAACAGAGGCATCGAGATCAATCCCAATAAAATCAAAGCCATTGAAGAGATCACCGTGGTGACAAATTTGAAAGCTGTGCAACGGCTAACTGAATGCATAGCTGCCCTAGGCCGGTTTATCTCGAGGTCATTGGATCGGAGCCATCACTTCTTTTCCCTGCTCAAAAAGAAAAATAGCTTCGCATGGACCCCGAAATGCCAGAAAGCCCTGGAAGAGTTAAAACGGTATCTCTCGAGCCCGCCCTTGTTCCATACTCCAAATGAGGATGAAACCCTCTACTCGTATCTATCCGTATCCGAGGTGGCGGTAAGTGGCGGGTTGGTTCGAGAAGAGCAAGGTACACAATTTCCTGTCTATTAAGTGAGTCGAACTCTAGGGGATGCTGAAACCAGGTACCCACATTTGGAAAATTAGCTCTTGCATTAATAAGTGCATCTAGAAAATTAAAACCATATTTTCAATGCCATCATATATGTGTATTGACCATATATCCGCTTCAAAATGTCTTGCACAAGCCCTAATTATCGGGCAGGTTGGTTAAGTGGGCCATCGAAATTAGAGGATATGATATCGAATATCAGCCTCGAACGACCATCAAGTCTCAAATTTTGGCAGACTTCGTGGACGACTTCACGCCTGCCCTCGTACCTGAAGTAGAAAAGGAACTCTTGTTAAAAACGGGTACAATGACGGGGATTCGGACCCTCTTCACAGAAGGTTCCTCGAATGTGAAAGGGTCCGGGCTCGACATCGTTTTGAAACCGCCTACGGGCAGTGTTATTAGACAATCTATCAAAACTTCTAAATTGACTAACAATGAGGCCGAGTATGAAGCCATGATTGCAGGTCTTGAACTAGCCAAGGGCCTTGGAGCAGAGGTCATCTAGGCAAAATGTGATTCCCTTTTGGTGGTAAATAAGGTAAACGGAAGCTTCGAGGTTCGAGACGATCGAATACTTGGACAAACTTCAAATGACACTGCACAACTTCAAGGAATAGACACTGGACCACGTATCTCGAGAACAGAATAGCGAGGCCGACGCACTAGAAAACTTGGGATCATCAATCGAAGAAGACGATATTGTCCCGGGGGCTGTCATCCACCTATCGAAGTCAGTGATCGAAGAAGGCCATGCAGAGATTAACTCAACAACCCTGATATGGAACTGGAGGAATAAGTACATTGATTACTTAAAGCATGGGAAGCTCCGCACGGAACCAAAGGAATCAAGAACATTACGAGCCAAAGCAGCTCGATTCTCGCTCCATGAAAATGGAAAGTTGTACAGAAGAACCTTCGATGGACCACTAGCAGTGTGTCTGGGACCTGGGGATACAGACTATGTACTACAGGAAATCCACAAGGGCTCCTGTGGGAACCATTCTGGTGGAGACTCTCTGGTTCGCAAGGTGATCAGAGCAGGATATTATTGGGATAGTATGGAAAAGATACCAAGGAGTCCGTTCGAAAGTGTGATAAGTGCTAGAGATTTGCACCAATAATTCATCTACCTGGTGAACAACTCCACTCGGCACTATCCCTGTGGCCATTCATGAAATGGGGGATGGACATCATCGGCCCCCTACCAATGGTGCCACGTAAAGCTAGATTCATTTTTTTATGACTGACTACTTCTTAAAATGGGTTGAAGCGCAGGCTTTCGAGAAGGTTTGAGTAAAAGAGGTATCAATTTCATATGGGATCATATTATATGTCGGTTCGGGATACCCGTCGAATTAACATATGACAATGGAAGCGGTTCATCGGCAGCAAAGTCACAAAGTTCCTCGAGGACCATAAAATCAAAAGGATCCTATGAACACCTTACCACCCAAGTGCAAATGGTCAGGCCAAGTCTACAAACATAACCATTATTCGAAACTTGAAGAAAAGGTTAGATGATGCAAAGGGGAAATGGAGAGAAGTGTTGCCTGAGGTACTATGGGCATATCAGACAACATCGAAGTCAAGCACGAGGGAGACCCCATTTTCTTTGGTATATGAGACCGAAGTTTTGATCCCAGTTGAAGTTGGTGAGCCTAGCACCAGGTTTGGACATGACACTGAAGACTCAAATCATGAAGCGATGAACACTTCTCTCGAGCTGCTGG